TTTTGGTCAGTTGTGGGGCTTGAACTGCTGTCCCTCTGCTCTTCAGCTCAAGTCTAGCACTCTACCACTTGAGCCACATTGCCACTTCTGGTTTCTCTGAGTGGTTTATTGGAGACAAGAGTCTCATGGACTTTCCTGCCCAGGCTGGCTTTGAACCATGATCCTCACATCTCAGCCTCCTGAGTAGCTAGGATTATAGGCATGAGCACTGGTACCCGGCCTAGTTATCTGTTCTTATATAAAGGATTCTACTTTTTTTCTAAAGCAGTGTTTTTTAACTGGAGAGGAAAAGGCACAGAACCAGCTGGGAAACATATTAAAACCAAAAAACCTTCTCCCATTGACACACAATGTAATTTGTAATATGAAAAATGTCTCTTTACTGTAGTTCTTCTAGTCTCACAACTAAGTCTTTCTTATTTGGGGATATGGGACTCTGAAGGGGAAGAAGACAGACATACACACACAGAGTAAATCAGAAATGAAATTTGTATTCAAGAGGTAAAATCTTAAGTCTCTTAAGACATTAAAATTAGAGATATATTTAATCAACCTTGAAAATGTAAATTTCTCACTTTTGCAAATGAAGCATTAGAAAACAATTGCAGTAAAAATAAGCAAAATTGATAATCAATGAATCATATTTTGTAAGGCAAGCACTCTACCACTGACCCACCTTCCCAGCCCTCAATGAATCATATTTTGAAGCAGTAAAATAAGATTAAGCTTCTCACACAAAAAGCTTCTGTCCTACTATTCTTGTCTTAGAAATTCTTTTACTTTATATTGTTAAGTTGTATCTTGTGTTATAACTGAGTAATTTTCATGCAACTAAAATGTTCTCTAGATATCATAGATTGTTTTAAGTATATCACTAAGATTTAACAACATAGTACTTAATAATTTGGAAAACAAACAGTAGTGGTTTGAACAACTCACAGTGCACAAATACTATAAAGTAAAGAACTGAAACAATTTTCCTACAAAAACTAACAGTTTATCATACAAGGCACTCAGAGACAGAAATGAATGAATAAGGCCATGTTTCTGGCATTGTGGAAGGTTGATAAGAACTTATGTAATATTTTTAAATGACAGTGGTAGGAATTGTGCTATTACTTCCCTACAACATTTACTGTCACCATTTCAAATTGACTATTTTATGCCTGCAGCAAACTTCAGACCTTCACTATCTTTGTCTTTTGAGGCCTGTGTACAGTACATTCTTCTATTATATACTGCCTACTAGCATCTGTACCTGTATGCTTGGACTTTTTTTCTGTTAGTAACAATTATACTATCTCTTAGTACAGTGTGTCCTCTTATCTACTTAAGAATGTTGGTCTAAGTTTTCGTTTTCTCTTGTATATATTTTTTCTCACTATTGAATTGTCCCCTGCAAAAATATGATTCTGCCCCCTTCTTAAAATAAAAATCTTGGCCAATGACTGAAATCTATAATTCCAACTACTCAGATGATATAGAGCTCAAACCTTGATCCTTCAGATTTCCACTTCTTGGTTGGGATTAGTAAGTGTGTGATTTTTCTTTGTGGTTTTTTTCTTTTTTTTTTTTCTTTTGTATTTCTCTAGTGACTAAATACGCTTTCATTTACCTGTTGCCCATTTATATACCTTCTGATTCAACAAATATTTATTGAGTGCTTATACTGGGCCAGGATATAGATATATATGTAGCTCATTGGTATGTTATTGAGAAAAATAGATAAATGTCCTTCCTTATGGAGTTCATGTATAGTCCTGCTAAACCCAATGAGAGGTTCTCAGTCATTTTATTTGATCATTCAATAACATTTACATCAGATGACCTATGTCCTTTTTTCCTTGCCTTTTACTACCCATCCTCATGTGTGCTTTCCCTTTCTCCTCACCAGAATTCCACTTCAGTCTAGTTTGGTGATTTTTTTTGTCTTCCCCTAAAGGAAAAGATTCATGGACTATCACTTGATCTGCTCTTCCCTGTATAAACTTGCCTTTTGGCTTAAATTGTTTTTATCGGAGATTCCTGAATCTTTTTTGGGGGATGGGGGGTCTAGTCGTGGGGGCCGAACTCTGGGCCTGGGCGCTGTCCCTCAGCTCTTCAGCTCAAGGCAAGCACTCTTACCACTTGAACCGCAGAGCCACTTCCAGTTTTCTGGTGGTTTATTGGAGATATGAGTCTCAGGGACTTTGCTGCTGCCTGGTCTGGCTTTGAACTGCGATCCTCAGATCTTAGCCTCCTGAGTGGCTAGGATTACAGACATGAGCCACCAATGCCAGGCTCCTTTTAAATAGTGGAATGACAACTAATAACTATAGAATGAACACTTATTAGAAAAGACCTTTTTATGGTCATGTGTTAATTTGCACAGGTAGGAATCATTAGTGGGATTATTGGGTGAAATTTTGATGAGTTACAGGTTGTTACACCATCTTTAAGTATTGTCACAGGTTACATAGTAGTTCCAGAGGATAGTTTTACAGTGACTATATCTAAGATAATTTATTTTAACTGTTCAAAGCTAATTTCACCCATGTAGGAGCAGAAAGGCACCAGGTCTGACAGTGCTTTCTGTCGTTAGCTATTGAAGAGCCAAAGTCAACTGTATAATTCTCTTTCAACATTCTTAGGAAGAATCATACACATTTAAATCAAGAGTCATGCTGTAAAACAACTTGCTAGAAATCTATTCTTCAAAGTAATGAGGAAAATATGCTAAGTTCCAGTGAAAACTATATGGGAATTTATTTTCGTATTCTTGGTTCTCTTTTGTAATGTTTAGGGATTTAAATTTATTTTACTTTTTATTTATTTATTTTTGCCAGTCCTGGGGCTTGAGATTCCTTTGTTTGATCCAGGCTAGCCCTCTACCACTTGCTACAGCACCACTTCCAGCTTTATCTGTTTATGTGGTACTGAGGAATCAAACCCAGGGCTTCATGCATGCTAGGCAAGCACTCCTACCACTAAGCCACATTCCTACCCCCATGTTTAGGGATTTTTAATTATATTTTTATTTTAAGTAGTTGTACAGCTTATAAATACAATGCATCTTGAGCAATGAAGATTTTTTTACATAATAAAGTTTTAAAAATATAGTTAATCTACAGACTGCATCTACTCTTTACTTTCTTCGCTGAACTACCTGGATCCTCTTGCTCATTTATAAACTACTTCTAATGGGTCTCATTACTTCCCCTTTAAATTGGGTCTCAACACTGCAACCAACTGACAAATTTTATCACCCCTCTACTCAAGTCTTCTAGTATACATTTCATTCAGGCTTCTTACTGTGGTCATCCATTAGTTCTGTTCCCTATTCTCTTCCCATCCTTCCATTTTGCTCTTTTCTTGCTAGACTTTTTTCACTGTTCTATCCATGTTGCTCTGCTTAGACTCAGTGCCCATCATCAGGCCTTGCCAAGGAACAAAACACATACAATTTTTTTTTCTCCAAATGCCCTTATCAAGTCTTAGTTTTCTTTTTTTGCATTCACATATTATTAATGTGTTACCTTCCAAGGGATCCTGCCCAACAGCCCCCTACTTAATACGTTAACACTTCCCACCATACAGTATACCTGCCCTCATTTACCCCATTCTATTTTTGGCATGATTTTGGTTTGTGTTATTTGGTGTAGGGTTTTTTTTTTTTTTTGACATTTGAGAGAGGGCTTGCTATGTAGCCCACTCTGGTCTTGAACTCATGATCCTCCCACTTCTGCCTCTTGAGTGCTGAGATCATAAGTGAGTGCTACTACTTCCAGTTCCTCATGGTTTTTAGTATCTATTTAATGTATTATTTATTTAGTCATTATATTATTTTGTCTTCCTAGAACTTAGGATCCACACGGGCACAGGTTTTGTTCACTACTGTTTCATTTCCAAATGCCAAGCTAGATTTTTATTTCAAATGAAAACCATCTGTGACAATGATGTGAAAAACCTCATCTTTAGGGTAGAAAGTAGATTTTTCGCTTATAACATTAATGAAAGTTTATTTAATAATATTTGAGTCCAAAACAAAGATAGAGGTTATTGCCTTTAATTTGTAGAAAAGTAGAGCAGTTTTATCTGTTTCCTTTTGTTTCAGAAGACTTAGTTTTTTACATTCTCTGAGGTAAAGAATCAATGGAGAAAGATCCCAAAGTGGTATAGACTTTAAGATATCCTTGACATATGTGGTGCTTTAGGGCTCATTGTGGTTTGGACTTTGAAACTTTGTGTTCCTTTGTGAGTTTATATATGTTCATTAATGTGTAGAATTCTCTGAAAATACAACATTTTATTTGAAGTTTTAGTTTTTAGTTATAATAACATGATTGCTTTTGGCAAATCAAGACTTAGATCAGTGGTAAAGCATGTATTTAGCCTGCCCAAGGCCCTGAATTCAATCCTCAGCACCAAAAATTTAAAAGACCTGCATTACAATTTATAGTCTATAGTCTACAAAATATGGATCACAATTTTGTTTTATTCTTTGTCTTAGCAGCCTCCCGTCAAAGTATCCGCAGAATATCTCTGGAAGAAGTTCTGGAATTACTAGGAACAGGATTTCTACGTGGCAGTTCAGGATTTCTTCGAGCCAGTGGTGATATGCTGAAAGGAACCAGTTCTGTCAGCAGAGATGTTCGAGTTGGAGTTACTCAGGTTGGAATTACAGATTAGTCTCTAAGTATAATTCTATTGACCTATAATGAAAGCTTTAGTTTTTGACTCTGCAGAAGCTATGTGAGTGAAGACAGTTCTTAAGCTCATATTTACAGATATGATAAGGCCAAAACTTTTTAAAAAATAGGTTATAAGAGGATCATCTTACCCAGAATGAGTCTTAAATTTCTAATAATGGAGTTTTATTTCCTTTGATTTATAAATTTTCAGTCCTGTGCTTTCATGTGTATTGTGATTTCATGTCTTTCACTGTGTTTCACTTAAACTATTAGATACATATTACTTAGCATGGATAAAATAAACATTTTATATGATTATAATTCCTAAATAAAAATTATAGCATTTAATCTTTCAGTATTGTATTTTTGGTCCTAAACAAAATTTGAAAGACAATTTCTTGAGAAACATAATCATAGAATAATATACTGCATTCTTCCCTTGAATTATCTTTCTTTTTCTTCTAAATGCTTTTTTTAATCTAAAACAAACTATACTTTTAGAAAACTTACTTTAGCCATTGTTTTATGCTTTATGTTCTGTTTGTGGAAATGTGAGTTTTCCTATATAATTTAAACTATGTACTTCTGAGAAACATATTACTTTGGAAAAGTACCTTTATCTCTGGAATAAGACAGACCATTGACATTTATGAAAAATAAAGAGCAGTGATTTGTCTTTGTAATTCTTACAGAGTTATGCTGAATTCTTACAGAGTTATGCTGTTAGAGCATACATAATTTAATGATACATTCTTATGTTTACATTGAGTTTTCCTGTTAAAAATGTTAAACAGCTTGAAACCTTTGTTCAGAGAAGGCATGGACATACTTTGCAGATCAGTAAGCCATATCAGCTGTACTGAAAAATTGCAGAGGCTAGCCAAAATAAAACAAGGGCGGAATAATGAAATCTGTGTTGAAAGATTATGTGCTTCAGTTTTGCCTTTAACAAAGATAGTGCTACATCTGTGTATTTCAGATAGCTGAACTGAGGAAAGAATACAGTCTGTGGAGAAATTTTGTGAAAAATAAATACAAAATTGAAATGATTTAGTTTTAAAGATGAAACTCTTAGCTGGGTGCTGGTAGCTTACACCTGTAATCCTAGCCATTCAGAAGGCTGTGAGATCTGAGGATCATAGTTCAAAGCCAGCCTAGTCAGGAAAGTCCATGAGACTCTTCTCTCCAGTAAACTACCCAAAAAAGCTGAAAGTAGAGTTGTGGCTCAAGTAGTAGAGTGCTATCCTTGAATAAAAAATCTCAGGGACAGGGGCTGGGAAGTGGCACAGTGGTAGAGCGCTTGCCTTGCATGCTTGAGGCCCTGGGTTCGATTCCTCAGCACCACATAAGCAAAAAGAAAAAAGCTGGAAATGGCGCTGTGGCTCAAGTGATAGAGCGCTAGCATTGAGCTGAAGTGCTGAGGGACAGCGCCCAGGCCCAGAGTTCAGGCCCCACGACTGGACCCCCCAAAAAATAAAACAAAACAAAAAACAAACAAAAAGCTCAGGGACAGCCCCTATACCCTGAGTTCAAGCCCCAGGAACACAAAAACAAAAACAAACCCAACTCTTTTCTTTTTTAGGCATATGTGGTATTTATCTCAACATTAGGAGGAGTGTGGCTAGAGAAAAATTTTGCTGTCTTTCTTTCTCACCTCCTGAGCCTTGTGTCACAGTTACATCCGAAAGCCACCCAAACACAGGTTGATGCCGTCTGCTGTCGACGATGTGTTTCCTTTATTCTTCGAGCTACTATAGGAGGCCTTCTTGGAGAAAAGGCTCAAATTGCTGCTGCAAAGGAGATCTGCCAGGCTATATGGAAGCTAAAAAAAGTTGCAGGTACAGATCCTACTAAAAGAGTCTGTTTTAACAATGACAAAGGAAGTATTCCATTGAAAAAGCTAGACGGGCATATTGCTTATATTAATGCAGAAATCTTGACGATTGTTAATAGATTTCCTCAGAAGAATGCATGTACTTCTTATGGTAGTTACAATAAATCACTTTAAACAATTCATTTGTTTTAGATCCTATACTGTGTATTAAGTCTCCTCTCTTATCTTGATATCAGTAGTACTAGAACATTTATTTTGGTTTTTGGTTTCTCATGAGTTCTCTTTTCTAGTCTCCCAGGCTAAAAGGGTGATATTAGATGCATATTGAGTTGCTTGACTTCATTTGTTTATATTAGCTGTATTCACACTCTTGTTAATACAGCCACCCATTTTAAGATTCCAGTTATTGCTTTAAGGTTTCAGGCTATTCAGCCTGTTGATATACTTAATTTTTACCTTTATACTTTTCTGCTCCTAACATTCCTCCTGTGATGTGTTTTTATAGTGTTTTTTTATAAAATTGTTTCTCTGTCAGATGCTGTATTAAGTGATGGTAATTTGGAAACCCGGCTCAGTTCCACAGATGTAGCTGCCAACCAGCATATGCTGGTATGTGCTTTACAAGAACTTGGAAATCTCATATACAATCTTGGTACCACAGCCGCACCTTTGTTTCAGGATTCTTGCACAGGTAAATAAATGATTGGTAGTGATTTGTCTCAATATTTTTACTTGTACTCGTTGGAAGAAAATCTTCGTTTAGCTTGCTTGTTGTAGATTCCATTTTAGTTATGGAAAATTATAATGAAGATTATTTAAAATATAGACATATCTGAGGAGCTGTTTGTGTGTGTGTGTGCACGTGTGTATGCGTGTGCACACGCACACACATACGTTTTCTTCAGGCTTGAGCTCAATCTGGGTGCTGTCTCAGGTTTTTGCCACAAGCCTAGTGCTATACCACTTGACCCACAGCTCCACTTAAGTAGTTAATTGGAGTTTCATGAACTTCCCTGGCTGGCTTCAAGATCTCAGCCTCCTTAGTGGCTAGGATTACACATTTTTGAGCCACCAGTGCCCAGCTTTTTTTGCTTTTGTAATTCAGGGTTTCTCTTTAATTCTCTCCCTGCCTTCCTTTCTGGGGATATTTAAGATATTATGGAAAAACTAGTGAGAAGTAAATCTGAAAGACATAAATCTATGTGGTATATGCAATTCAGTTTCTCCAAGAAGTTTATTGTTTTTTTTTCTGTCTTTCTTTGAAAGCTATTTAATCACTTTTAAAGATTAACTTTGTAGCTTTTGACCTTGTAATAAACATAGTCTGCCTAATGAGAAGCATTTCATTGTATTTATATTTCTGTTTGCAAGACATTTAAATTTGGGACACATATTATTTTGTAGCAGTTGTTTTGACAAAGGTGTATCTTTTTCTTGGGGGGGGAGGTTCCTGTTGTGGGCCTGAACTCTGGGCCTGCTCACTGTCCCTCAGCTCTTCAGCTCAAGGCTAGAGCTCTACCACTTGAGCCACAGCGCCACTTCCAGCTTTTTATTTCTGCTTATGTGGTGCAGAGGAATTGAACTCAGGGTCTCATGCATGCAAGGCAAGTGCTCTACCATTGAGCCACCTTCCCAGCCCCAAAGGTGTATCTTGAATCATAGAAGTACAGAAGTTTTTTCTTGTGGCTGTCCTTTCTTTTTTGTCATTACAGTGGGTTATCCCATTTCAAGAACCCAAGGAAACCTTGGGTTTACCTTTTTGTTTTTAGATAAGGGAAATATGATGAATAAGAATATAGGTGGGCACTGGTGACTTGGACCTGTAATTCTAGCTATTCAGGAGACTGAGATCCAAGGATTGCGGTTGAAACCAGCCTATTAACTACCAAAAAACCCTAAGTGCAGATGTGGCTTAAGTGGTAGAATGCTAGCCTTGAGCAAAAATGCCCAGCGACAGTGCTGAGGACTTGAGTTCAAGCCCCAGGATCAGCACAAAAAGAAGAGGGAAGGAGGGAGGGAAGGAAGGAATGACAGAAAGAAGAAAGAAGAAAGGAAAGGAGGAGATGTAGGGAAAATAAATGTGCTGGAGGAATTTTTTTCTTTTACTTTTTTTTTTTTTTGGCCAATCCTAGGGCTTGAACTCTGGGCCTGGGCACTGTCCTTGAGCTTCTTTTGCACAAGGCTCTACCACTTGAGCCATAGCACCACTTCCAGCTTTTTCTGAGGAATCGAACCCAGGGCTTCACACATGTGATGCAAGCACTCTACCACAAAGCCACATTCCTAGCCCCATAAAGGAATTTTTTAACCGGAGAGCAAGAGGAAGTGTGACATTTTAAAGATGTTTCGTTATATATTGAAAATTTTTAGTTTCTAGTGCCAAATTAATTAGATCTCAAGGTAAATTAGGGAAAATATTGACTTAGAAATAATTGTTCTTTTTTGTGTTTGTGTATTACTTTAGGACAACTTCATAATATTAAAAGTAATTCCTAGGTTAGAAAAAGTTGGGTTTTTTTTTTTTTGTTGTTTGTATGTTTGTTTGTCTGGTCAGTTGTAGAGATTAACTCTGGGCCTGGGTGCTGTCCTTCAGCTCTTCAGCTCAAAGCAACACTCTACCACTTGAGCCATAGCACCAGTTCCGGTTTTCTGATGGTTAACTTGAAATAAGAGTTTCATGGACTTCCCTTCCCAGGCTGGCTTTTAAACCAGATCCTCAGATCTCAGCCTCCTAAGCTATGATTGTGGGCATGAGCCATCAGCACCTAGCAGAAAAAGTATTTTTAATTATGTGTCACTAAATATTTTTCATTTTGATTTGGCTTTTCATAAGAGTAATGTATTTTATATCTAGGTGACCATTCTTTTGACTGTTTTATAGCTAAGTTTTGTTGGCATAACTAAGTCATCATTTGTTTGTTCTGTCCTCTTAGGCCTTCTTGACAATGTCATTTCAGTAATTCCTCACCCTAGTAATTGTGTTCGACTAGCAGCAGCTTGGTGTTTGCACTGCATTGCTGTGGCATTACCTTCATACCTGACACCTCTATTAGATCGTTGCCTTGAAAGACTTACTGTCCTTAAGTCTTCACCTGAAGCAGTGACTGGCTTTAGTTTTGCTGTGGCGGCTTTGCTGGGAGCAGTGAAACATTGTCCTTTAGGAATTCCTCATGGAAAGGGCAAGGTAATAATTCCATTCTCTACATAATAATGACCCAAGTTTTTATTATAACAGCATAACCTTTCCTTAATCACTCATGCAACACCATGCAGGAAGGCTAAGCAGTCAGTTGTACTGTACCTTAAATGTTCAGCTGTCGATACAATAGCTATGAAAAAGGGGGTGCGTGGTTTCAAATGCTTTCTCCACACTGAAGTAAAGGAGTGACTTAAGTTAGAAGTACTTCCGTTTACTAACAAAATTTATTCCTGGAAGTCTTTTTGCTACTCATTTCGTTTTGTCATATAAATGTGTTTAAAATTCTCTTGTAAAGTACATTATTGTGAGATAAATACTAAACTTGATTTAATAACTTTATAAGTACTGGCATTGTTGCTGCCTATTATTTCAAAAATTAGGTTACCTATAAAGTAGACATATAGGCTATAGGTAGTCATAATTAGTCCTAATTACTTTGGTTGGTTGTTTTAAAATACTAATCTTCCTCTCTGGGAAACATATACATCTCTTCCTACTTGCTGCTTTTTCAATGGTCACTGGTAACTGATATTTTGTCATCTATATCACTACTGTCCTTTATTGTCTATAAGCATACCTTATCCATAAATGTAAAACTTTTTTTACATTTTTTTCCAATTTTTTTGGTTCTAACACTGCTATTTTGTAGACTTTTACATTTTAATGAATCCTACTCTTACTGTGAAAATTTTCTAGACAAGTTTTTTGTTTTTTATCACTTTCAACCATGATAGTATTGACTGTGGGAAAACCACTATCAGCCATTTAAAAATCAAATGGTATATAAAACTTTTTTAAAAAGGGCAACTCCTATGATAAAACTTTTTCCAGTACTTATTCAACAAAAAAGATATTGTAGCCAGGCGCAAGTGGCTCATGCCTGTAATATTAGCTACTCAGGAGGCTGAGATCTGAAGATCTCAGTTCGAAGCCAGGCAGGGCAGGAAAGTCCGTGAGACTCTTATCACCAGTTAACCACCAGAAAACCGGAAGTGGTGCTGTGGCTCAAGTGGTAGAGCTGAAGAGCTTAGGGACAACGCCAAGGCCTAGAGTTCAAGCTCTACGACCAAAAAATTTTTTTCAAAAAAATGTTGTTTTAAACTAAAAGCAAATTCAAATTCTATACAGTTGTACTTGAATAGTCTTACAGTTTTGTCATCTGTGCTCTCCAGAGAATTCTGTGATCCTCTGTTCTGTAATATTATCTTTGAAAACTTGAAAAAATTAAGTTTTCTGTAGGACATTGTCCTGTTATGTAGCGCAAGATAAATTTTGGAATCCTTATAATTAGTTACTAAAGTGTATCTACTAATATATAAGCTAATTTTTTTAATTTATCTGGTTCTTCTGTACATAAACAGATTATTATGACATTGGCAGAGGATTTGCTATGTTCTGCTGCTCAAAATAGTCGCCTGTCAGCTCAACGTACACAAGCTGGATGGTTGTTGATTGCTGCTCTGATGACATTAGGTAATATCCTGAGACATTTAACAAAATTAGGAAATTCTTGGTGTTTTCTAAGTGAAAGGATTCCTGTATATGGTTTGATGGTACTTTATTTTTGTTACTTTTTAAATTTTTTTTAATAGGATACAGTAGAAGTAGGAGATTCATGTTGACATTTCCATACATTTATACAATGTATCTGGACCAAACATACCCTTCGCTTTCATTCTCCCTCACTTACATTCTCCCTTCCTTACCTTCTCGCTAAAAACAATTTCAACTGATTTCATAGTTCTGTTTTCATACTTTGATCATAATCATTTTCAGTTATTTTCATTCTCCCTCTCCATTAGCCTTCATTCCTCCTACTGATGCTCTCCCACCAAAAGTCTATTTTACTTTCCTATTGTTCTTTTTTTTTTTTAGTGTGTATTAATTGTGCCAAGGGGTTTCACCGTGGTATTTCAGATGTGCATGTACTGTCTTTTAATAACAATAACCCTCACTATTGCTTCTCTTTCCCTGCTTCTCTAGCCCCCTATTGCTTAACCACCTTGAGATTTCTTATGCCATCTAAATAGTTTAAGAGGGAAGTTCCTACTTGATAATAAAACTTTAAAGTATAATCCATGTAGGTTCTCCGAAGTGACAAATTGAATATTTTACAGGTCCTGCGGTTGTCACTCACCACCTTGCTCGAGTTCTACTGTTGTGGAAGTGTGTCTTTCCAGCATCTCCTAAAGATCTAGAAACAGAAAAGAACCGAGGAGATTCGTTTACGTGGCAAGTGACCCTGGAAGGACGAGCTGGTGCTCTCTCTGGTGGGTTGAGTTTAGTCTGGCTCTCCCCGTTTCTGACTTTACTTGCCTTTTGTTTTTAAATGTATAGCATGCTTAATTTGCTGTAAAGGAAGAATCTAACTAGTAGTTTTTGTAACTGAACATAATTGTCTGAAGAGTTTGGTAATAAACCAAATTTGAGAAATTGAATCCTCAGGCTAATGAATGTATATTTTATTAGATAAGATTGCTTTGTCTTAAGTAGATAATCCTTTTTTTTTTTGGTAACAAATTTGAATACAGGGCCTCATGCTTATGATTAGATGGCACTCTACCATTTGAGCCAGGTCTCTACAGCTCATTGCTGTTTTCAGAAATACTAGTGTTTGATTTAATTAGCACTAAGTATGGTTTCCATTCAGTCTATACATATATGAAAGTTATACTTTTAACAATATATAGAGACTGTTGAAAATAATACTCTACCATGAAAATATAAACAAAGGAAGGATGGATTTTCTTGGAAGCACTGGTTTGGGGTTTGTTTGCTCAAGGTATTTTTGCTCTTAAGAAAGAAAAACAAGTTAGGCGCCAATGGCTCAGTAGCTACTAGCAACATTAGTGGCTGAGATCTGAACATCACAGTTTAAAGCCAACCTGGGCAGGAAAGTCCATGAGACTCTTATCTCCAACAAACTATTCAGAAAAAGCCAGAAGTGGCACTGAGAGGCTCAGGGACAGAGCCCACACCCTGTGTTCAAGCCCCAGGACCAGGAAAGGGGGGTGGTGGGCGAGGGGGAGGAGAAAAGAAAAGTAAAACAAGCTGGGCACTGGTGGCTCATGCCTATAATCTTTGCTACTCTGGAGACTGAGATGGAGGATCTCAATTCAAAGCTAGCCAGGGCTGGAAAGTCCATGAGATTCTTAATCTCCAATTAACCACCAAAAAAAAGCCAGAAGTGGAATGTGGCTCAAGTGGTGGAGCCCTAACCTTGAACAAAAGAGCTCAGGGACAACACTCAGACCCTGAGTTCAAGCCCTAGTCCCAGGACTAGGCGCACACACAAGATAGGTAGGTAGGTAGGTAGGTAGGTAGGTAGGTAGGTAGGTAGATAGATAGATAGATAGATAAATAGATAGATAGATTGATTGATTGATTTTGAATTTGATCTTGAAACAGCCTAATTTTAAACTTTAAACTTTCATTCTATTCCTCATAGGAAGTAACTTTTAAGAGAAAGTTCTTTGTTTCAGGTAATGTCTGCTAGCTTTGTAGAACCAGGCAAACTAGCCAGGGTCCACTCTTATACCTGTAATATTCCTAGCTACTAAGGAAGTTACCTGGTTTGGAGCTAGCCTAGGCAGACAAAGTTGAGGGATTTACATCTCCAAGTAACTAGCAGAAAAAGAACAATTGCTCAAGTGGTAAAATGCCAGACATCAGGGAAAAAGTCCAAAGAGTGTTCAAGCTCCAGTTTAACATTTTTTTAAAAGGGAAGCTAATGTCTATTTTTGCTTGTGATCTCAAGAACAGAAGACATTAGAATCCTTTCTATATTAGTTTTGAGAATTTGTTTTGGGCACATTTCTTTATTTCTATAATAAAAATGCTAATAATGTAACCTAATCAAAGTCTGTCTTCATGTTGATTATAACCTGCTAAAAGCCTGTTCTCTTTTTCAGCTATCAAGAGTTTTGTTTCCCACTGTGGTGATCTCCTCACTGGGGAAGTAATTCAGCATCTCCTTCTACCACTTCCTTGTGCTGTGGATTTGCTAACTCAGTAAGGATTAGCTGTTTTGGTTGATAAAAGTTCTTAAGAGTAATTACTTTCTCTCTGATTGTATAATATCCCTTAAGTAAATTAATAAGGCAAGTTTCTATGGTTTCAGAGAGGAAGACAAACATTTAGTTGTGATTGTTTTTGTCATTTTTGGCTAAGATCTTTTTTTTATTATTGTAAAGGTGATGTACAGAGGGTTACAATTACATTGGCTCAGATAGTGAAATAAAAATACATATTAAAAGGAAAGGAAGTAGGTTAGGAATGATGGGTGACAAAATTATCAGACACTTTGTAATCATATACTGTTTTGTAGACTGGGAACTTCTTTGTACAGCTACTTAAAGATAATAAAAAATTTAAAAGGAAAGAAAAATCAATTGAAGAATAGTGTACCTTTCATACAGGCAGATTTTAAATATTAAGCCTGTTAACTTTTTCAGGTATGATTTTAATTGGTTTGTTAGAGCTATTTTGTAGTCATAAGAACCAAATGCTTGTTAAGTTTCAGCTTTCTGTTTGTATTTTCATTGTTTGTGTTGTACATATATGATAGAGAAAAGCCAACAATATATTAGAGCATTTGTAATTTCTAAGATTAAAGTATTTAGAGAAAATCCCAAAAATGTTTGGTATAGCATGTGGACAGAAAAGCAAATTAAGGGTATGACTTATAAAGCATAATAATAAAATGAACAAGTTAGAATTCAACACAAGAGCAAGGGTTACAAACATTTCCTGTAAAGGGCTAAACTTTAAAGGTTATGAGGTCTTAGTTATAGCTGTTCAACTCTGTTGTTATAGCTCAAAAGTTAATCATAGCTGATATGTGAATGAATAAATGTGTCTTTATGAATAACTATTTATGAAAACAAGCAATGGGCTGTATTTGGACCTCGCTGTACTAGGGCAATAATAGTACACATTTGTTTGACCTATATTTCTTTTAGATTTCTCTTTTATTAGTTCATGAGCATCTATATTTTCAATACTATTCTTTGCTGCTCATCAAAGTATTAAAAATGTTTTCTAGTTTTTTGATTAATAGACATTTCTAATTTGTGTCAAATTTACAACACTTTTTTGTTGAGTACTTTTGTCGGTTGAAAAAGTTTTATTGTAAAGTTATACTTTCTTATATTTCTCTCAGAATTGTTTCAAGTTTTGTGTTTCATGTTCATCTTTAATTCACCTCCAGTTGACTTTCATTTTTGAAGTGAAGTACAGATCGTCTTTGTCTGTTTGGGGTGCTATGACAAAGTACCTCAGACTGTACTTTGAAAAGAACAGAAATCTATTTCTTACAGTTTGGAGGATAAGAGTCCAAGATCAGAGCGCTGGCAGGTTCATTGTCAAGTGAGAGGGTGGCCTTGGTTTCCAAGATGGCACTTCATTGCCCTTTTCTGTGGAGAGAATGCTATGTCCTAATATGGCAGAAGGGACAGGAGGGCAAAAAGGAGCTCAAAAAAATTGAGCTGGCCACTTAATGGTTCACACCTGTAATCCTAGCTGAGATCTGAGGATCACAGTTCAGAGTCAGCCAGTGAAGGAAAATCAATGAGACTCTTATTTACAATTAACCACCAGAAAACTGTAAGTGGTGCTGTAGCTCAAAGTGGTAGAGTGATAGTCTTTAGCAAAAGAGCTCAGGGACAATGCCCAGGTCCCAAGTTCAAGCCCCACAACTGACAAAAAACAAAAAAACCCTTACTACTTTTAGTGATGAACATTCACTTTTGTTACATATTTCCTCTAAGAAAATACATCTTTATAATAAATTGTAATATGTGAAAATAAACATTTTCGCCTATTCTTCTTTGCATGTATTTTGAGCCTTTTTTAAAATAATTTTTTTTTGAGATTAAGTGATTACGTCAATTTCACAAATTGGGCTGGGAAGTTGGCTCAGTAGTAGAGCGCTTGCCTTGCATGCCTGAGGCCCTGGGCTCAATTCCTCAGCACCACATAAGCAAAAAAGAAAAAAGCCAGAAGTGGCGCTGTGACTCAAGTGGTAGAGCGCTAACCTTGAGCTGAAGAGCTGAGGGACAGTGCCCAGGCCCAGAGTTCAGGCCCCACGACCCGACCCAAAAAAATAAAATAAAAATAAATTTCACAAGTTTCACAGTATTGTGAGATAGTGATACTTAAAGTCACAAACACATTTTAACCTTCACCAGGCAAATTGTCATTATCATGATCTATAAAGTTTGTGAATTCTATAAGCTTTGACAATACAAGTGTTTCTTCCACATGGGATGATGTGTACATTTCTTTCTTTTTGCTTAGTGTAAGCTGTTCCCTCTTTCCCTCTCATTCCCTCCCTTCCTTCATAGAGCCCTTGAGTTGCTTAGTTCATTTTCATCAAAGTCCAGTGCAGCTGATGGTATTTTGGGCCTTATACTTTTGATCTTTCCCTGTTGAAATTTTATTTGTAATTGCATTACATATACACATATGGAGCCTATTATATTTTTACAAAGCCCATGAACATGACGCTTCTGCTATTATTGGTAAATTTACAAAATATAAATATTTTCTGTAGTTAAAAAAAGAACTTTACCTAAATAAAGATAGGTCTTAAGTTTTCTTTCTTTTTTTTTTTTTTCCCCCAGAGCTTAGGACTGAACTCAAGGCCTTGCATTTGCCAGGCAAGTGCTCTATCACTGAGCTAAATCCCCAACAAGATAGGTCTTAAAAATTTACTGTTAATGGCTACTCGGAAGGCTGAGATCTGAGGATCAGGGTTCAAAGCCAGCGTGGGCAGGAAAGTCCGTGTTCTTATCTCTAATAAGCCACTAGAAGACCAGAAGTGGCTCAAGTGGTAGAGCACTCGCCTTGAATTGAAAAGCTGAGGGACAGCACCCAAGCCCAGAGTTCAAGCCCCATGAACAACCAAAAAAAAAAAAATTACTGTTAAGCCAGGTGTTAGTGGCTCATACCTATAATTTTAGCTGCTTTAGGCCAGCCCAGGTAGAAAAGTCTATGAGACTTTTATCTCCAATTAACCATCAGAAAGCCAGCCTAGGCAGCAAAGTCTAAAAGACTCTTACCTCCAGTTAACTATCATAAAGCCAGAAACGAAGCTATAATTCAAAGTGGTGGTACTAGCCTTGAGCACAAAAGCTCAGGGACAGCACCCAGGCCCTGATTTCAGGCCCCACCAAAAAAAAAAAAAATCACAAAAATTACTCTCAGCTATTTTATATTTTTATTGTTATAATTGTTAAATAAGTGATGTGACTGATCTGTTTTTTGCTACTGTAAAAATTATAATTGATCATACATCCAGCCAGCTTAATAAATTTTCTTACATGAACTGTTAATTTGTAGAGTCTCTTAGAGTTTTTTGGATTTATTTTTGTTTGTTTGTTTGTTTTTTGTGTCCAGTCATGGGGCCTAAGCGCTGTTCCTCAGCTCTTCAACTCAAGACTAGCGCTCTACCACTTGAGCCACAGCGCCACTTCCGGCTTTTTTCTCTTTGCTTATGTGGTACTGAGGAATCGAACCCAGGGCCTCATGCATGCAAAGCAAGCACTCTACCACTGAGCCACCTTCCCAGCCCCTCTTAGAGTTTTAATTTATAGTACTTACTCATTCATATTGTCTGTTTTATCACTGAATAGAAGCTTGATGCAGTGGTCTACAGCTGTAGTCTAAGCTATCCAGGAGGCTAAGTCCAGAAGTTTGAGGCCAGCCTGTGCAGCATATCTTTAAAAATACCAATCTAGGAAATACAACCTTGTAATCCCAAGTGGAGGCAAAAGGATTGTAGTTTGAGGCCACTAGGGCTATCTAACTCAGCCCAGATAGATATACAGATACATAGATAGCCTGTCCACATAAGTGACCCTGACCCTGACCTTGAGCTTTTTTGACCTTGAGAGGTTAGCACTATTATCGCTTGAGTCTTAGCTCCACTTCTGGTTTTCTGGTAGTTAGTTGGAGATAAGAGTCTTGAGGACTTTCTTGTCTGGACTGGCTTTGAACCCTGATGCTCAGATCTCAGCCTCCTGAGTAGCTAGGATTACAGGCATGAGCCACAGGCACCTGGCTTACTTGGGGCTTTAAAGTAATCAAATTTAACTAATAGTTTTGTTGTGTAAACTATGACTGGACAGTTAGCAGAATGATTTCTACATATTAACACTTTATTATCTACCTTATTTTAAAAATATAAATTAGCACTAATGTTCATTCAATACGTATAGCTAATTTATGTTTACATGTTAATTGGTTCATTACTTGTACATTATCATATAACTTAGACTATTAAAATATACTTTTTCTTTTGTTTTAAGGCTTTCTTCAATACTAAAAACATATGGAAGTCCATTGAAAACACCATCAATAGTTTATAGACAAAGACTTTATGAACTACTGATTTTATTACCTCCTGAAACCTATCAAGGTATGTGCCTTAAATCAAAGCATAGTATTGTTTCTGATTACCTGAAAAGCAATAATTGGCTCATTAAGTTATTTCTTTTTTTTGGTTGGTCATGGGGCTTGACCTCTGGGCTCTTCAGCTCAAGGCAAGTACTCTATCACTGGAGCCTCAGGCCACTTCCAGTTTTCTGGTGGTTGATTGGAGATAAGAGTCTCACAGACTTTTCTTGCCCGGGCTGGCTTTTGAACTGGGATCCTCAATGCTCGGCATCCTAAGTAGCTAGGATTTCAGGTGTGAGCCACCAGTGTCCATCCAATCTTAAGTTCTTGAATGAATGAATTAAATTGTCAGTTATTTAGCAACTTGTTTTTCAGAGGGTAGAGAGCAATCCTAATTCACATGTTTACAGTTTCATAGTAAGTAAAATATGTTTTTTGGAAACCTACTTCTTCATATCCTGCTTTCTTTTCTCCTGAAAAATAGATCACTAGTTGTACTAGGTGAGAGAGGATGAGTCACAAAGACTGATTTGATTTTACAACTAGGTTTTTACATAGAATTTGTAATGTAAATATGATATACATTTAGCTATACCTAGTTTCCTTCTAGGATGATATCTATAGTGTATTTTCCATTATTTTTAATTTTGTTAAGATAAATATTTTTTATTTGTCAGTCGTGGGGCTTGAACTCTGGGCTTGGGCGCGGTCCCTGTGCTCTTCAGCTCAAGGCGAGCTCTACCACTTGAGCCACAGCGCCACTTCTAGTTTTCTAGTGGTTTATTGGAGATAAGAGTCTCACAAACTGGGGCTGGGAAGGTGGCTCAGTGCTAGAGCGCTTGCCTTGCATGCATTGAGGCCCTGAGTTCGATTCCTCAGCACCACATAAGCAAAAAGAAAAAAGCTGGAAGTGGCACTGTGGCTCAAGTGGTAGAGCGCTAGCCTGAGCTGAAGAGCTGAGGGACAGCGCCCAGGCCCAGAGTTCAGGCCCCACGACTGGACCAAAAAAAAAAAAAGAGTCTCACAGACTTTACTGCCCAGGCTGGCTTTGAACCGCAATACTCAGATCTCAGCCTCCTGAGTAGCTAGGATTACAGGGGTGAGCCACCAGCACCTGGCTAAGATAAAGATTTAATATCAAACTACCAAAATATAATTGATTTTACAAACTTATGATGTGATTTTTTTTGTTCTTGCGAATCAACGATGATTTTGTTAGTGAAAGTCTACAATTGATAAACTAAACTTAAAAAAATAAAATTTGCTTGCCCTATTTTAAAACTAGTTCTTGAATCTTTACTATAAAATACAGTTTTAAAAAATAAAGCCAGATGCCAGTGGCTCATACCTATTATCCTAGCCACTCAGAAGGCTGAGAACTGAGGATCGCAGTTTGAAAGCAGCCCACGCAGGAAAAATCTGTGAGACTCTTATCTCCAACAAACTACTCAAAAAAGGCCAGAAGTGGCACTGTGGCTCAAGTGGTAGAGCACTAGCCTTGAACATAAAGAGGATCTGAGACAGCTCTGAAACCTTGAGGATCTGAGACAGCTCTGAAGCCTTGAGTTCAAGCCTCAGGACCCACAACAACAACATCATCAACAACAAAAATTCAGTATTGCTCTTACTGATTAAATCAAGGTATTTGTTTTAAGAGTTAAAATTTAAAAATTATCTTCTATGGGAAATTTTTTTGTTGTTTAGTATTGGTAATTTTCAGCCAACTATATTAAGTTGAGTGCTTATAATTCTAATGGACTGATGGGGTGGTTCAAGTTATAGAGCACCTGCCTAGAAAGCAGAAGGCTCTGAGTACTATCCAAAAAAAATTAAATATGTTTATATTTATATATTTGTAAAAGAACATTTATTTGTTTATATCCTGCTGAGAATAAATGAAATGTAATATGTACCAAATTATTTCAAAATATTAACCTATAACCTCTGCATTTGGTGAATAATAATGTTCTTATTAACCCTCTCCTTGGTACACAGATATACCTATTAAAATGTTCACTACAAAGTAAGCTTTTAGAATATATGTACTTCTAAAGAACTGAAAAAAATAAACATTTCTCAGACTATATTAGAAGAACCATTTTTATATGCAAGGCACTTTGCTAGAAATTATATATAATGTGTCTCACTTAACCTTAGGATAATACAATGATTTTGTTAGATTTGCCTTCCTTCCTTCTATCCTTCCTTCCTTTCTCTCTTTCTCTCTTTCTTTCTTTTTCTTTCTTTTTTTGTCGGTCATGGAGCCTGAACTCTGGGCCTGGGCACTGTCCCTCAGCTCTTCAACTCAAGGCTAGTGCTCTACCACTTGAGCCACAGCGCACTTCCAGCTTTTTCTGTTTATGTGGTGCTGAAGAATCGAACCCAGGGCCTCATGCATGCGAGGCAAACACTACCACTGAACCACCTTTCCAGCCCCAAGATTTTCCTTTGTTGATAAAGGAAATTATGTCAACAAACCCAAGAACAGAGATGCAGAAAATACAAATAGTGTCAAGATTAAGATGTAGCTTTGCCACATGCTGCACTGCCTCTTGATTAAAGACATAAGAAATAGTCACATTTTAGTGGTAGCTCTGTATTATTCTATGCTTTGTTATAAAAGCTAAGGGGATAATTTCTGTGTTTCATAGCTTAGGAAGCTGTTAGATTGTACATTCCCCTCTATTAATTACCATAAAACTTAACAATTTTTTTACTACATTTGAAAAATAAGTAGGCTTTTTTTTAGTTGATAGTAAACATTTATGAAAATAAGAATGCCAACTTAAATCTGTAGAGTATTTCCAATGATCATATAAATCTACCCTTGAGGAATTAGACTTAGAGTCAGGGATTGTTTTGTACTTTTTAACTTTTATAACTTTGAATTTGAATTTAGAAATCCAATTTGGACTCCTAAAGGAAAAATGAATATACATATGTACATGTATGTGTGTATATATACATGTACATATATATACACATAGACACATACATATATTTTTCTTATTATTTTGTGTGTCTTTGTGTGTTTCAGTCATAGAGCTTCACCTAAGGATCTGGGTGCCATTCTTGAACTTTTTTTTGCTGAGGCTAGCATTCTACTACTTTAGTCATAGCTCCCAAAAGCCATTTCCAGCTTTTGTAGCTGGTTAATTGCAGACATAGACTTTGTTGCCTTGACTGGTTTTGAAACTCAGTCCTTAGATCTCAGCTTCCTGAGTAGCTAAGATTACAGACATGAACTACCAATGCCTGACTGGGGTGTTTGTTTGTTTGTTTTAATGTTATATAGTAAATTTTGCCATTTTTATTAAAGATTATTTATATTTAATATGATTGATAGAGTTTCATTTAAAATTTATATGGTTAGTGTCGTCTACAATTTGTTTTCTATTCTGTTTATTAATTGCTTTTCTTTTTCTGAATTCATTTGGATTGTATATTTTTGTGATATTTATAGAACTTCTTTATTATAATTGCCTTTCTTTTTATAAATTAATAGTTGCTTTAGCAGTTAAGATATATATGTTTAACATATTATAGTCTCCTTTCTAGTATGGTTATACTACTTACATATCATGAGAACAGAATAATAATGTGCCTCCATTCCTTTCCTTCTGGTATGTAGGGTTTTGTTTTCATCCATTTTACTTTTATATACAGTATAAACTCCATATTGCATAAGTTAATTGTTGTTTTTGTCCTGTCTTTTTCAAGTAAATGTACTTGAGTAACATGAATTAGAGAAAAATAATGACTAAAAATATTATGGCTATATCACTATTTTCATGTTTCAACTCAAAATAATTATTTGCCATACTTTTCATCTTCCCAATCAGAACACTAGAAGTAATGGTTTTTTTCCTGAGGATCTTTGCATTTAAGAAAAAAATTAATTTCTATTTATATGTATGATGTTTGTGGAACATAGTAGTTATAACTTTACCATTAAAGTATTGTCATTTTAACTAGCATAAATGTGTTTACTGTATTTTTATATTTTACATATGTACTAAATAGCTAGTGCAATAATAACATAGCAAATTTTTAATCTTTAACACAAAAGTAGTCTTTCTATTTATTCATCTACTTCATTTAGAAAATGTGAATAACAAGTTTAACATTCTCATCCTATCAATTGCTTAAATGTATTGTCAAAAAGTCATTTTACACGACATTAGTCAGAAGAGTATTTTAAGAATTGGAATCACTTTTCTTCATGATTGTCTAACTAATACAAATGCTTATCTTAAAAGTTACTTAGAGCCAGGCACCAATGGCTTATACTTGTAATCCTAACTACTCCGGAGGCTGAGATCTGGGAATTGTAATTTAAAGTCAGTCCAGGCAGTAAAGTCAATGAGGCTCTTATTTCTAGTTAACTACCACTTTAATAAGTTTGAAGTAGAGCTATGGTTCAAGTGGTAAGTGTGCTCGCCTTGAGCAAAAAAGTTCAAGCTCTAGGACTGGCACAAAAAGAAAAAAAAAGTTACTTAGTTTTCTGAAGACTTTAATGGAAAAATTGAGGTTTGTTTTTTTGTTTGTTTTTTACAAAGTCAGGTAATGAATACATGTCTTTTTGAACCGTGTCCCTCCCTCCCTCGTTATCTCCCAGTTTTCCTCCTCCCAGCTTCACTTTGCCCAGAAACAATTATGCAAGAACTCACTTTAAGAAATAGATTTTTTTCATGCCAGACGCTAGTGGCTCATGCCTGTAATCCTAGCTATTCAGGAGGCTGAAATCTGAGGATCATGGTTCAAAGCCAGCCCAGGCAGGAAAGTCCATGAGACTCTTATCTCCAGTAAACTACAAGAAACTGGAAGTGCGCTGACTCAAATGGTAGAATGAATACTTGCCTTGAGCTGAAGAGCTGAGGGGCAGTGCCCAGGCCCAGAGTTCAGGCTCCATAATTGACAAAAAAAGATTTTTCCATCATTTTCCTACTTAGCTACAGGACCAAACATGGTCCTTATATGTTGGATACCCAATAGAATTTTATTGCTGAGTGTTCTATTCTGGTAATTAAACTTTAAATCACTTTGATTTGCTTTATTAAGCCTTTATTGATAGCTGTCCATCCTCCCTCTTACCTATAAATGCTCCTTTCTTTAAACCTAATAATACTTTTGTTTTCATCTTTTAGGAGTCATAATTCTTATCAACTTTGTATGATAATTAATGTGTGTATTTGTATCCCATGTATTGTAACTTCTTGAAATAAAAAAAAATTGGGGTTGGGAAGGTGGTTCAGTGGTAGAGCGCTTACCTTGCATGCATGAGGCCCTGGGTTCTATTCCTTAGCATCACATAAGCAGAAAAGCTGGAAGTGGAGCTGTGGCTCTAGTGGTAGAGTGCTCACCTTGAGCTGAAGAGCTGAGGGACAGCACCCAGGCCCAGAATTCAAGCCCTATGACCAACAAAAAACAAACAAACAAAATAGTTCTCTGTAGCATCTCAAATAAATGAGTTATTGCGGATAGTGGTTAAAAACTCAAATTCTGGAGCCTGATTCTCTGGATTTCAGTCTGATTCTGCTGTGTAATTGCTTTATAATCTCCGACAAATAACAAATAAGTTTTATTTCCCCATCTATAAAATGATAGTGCTACCCTTACTTTATGAGTTTTATTATGAGGATATATATATAAAGCTTCTAATACATTTCCTGACACATATTAAGCCTTCAGTAAATATTTGTCGTTTAATATTACTGTTACTAATAATACAGAAAAAAATCAGTATGGTTGCTGCTGCTTGGGAGTTGAGGCAGGATTGCTTTGTCATCAATCTGGGCCTCCATTAATGCAACCATATGTGGATAGAAATAATTTTAAGTTTTCTATAAAAAAATTATGGCAAATGAACCTTTTCTAATTTATCACTAGGAGACATCACTCCCACTCTTCATTTCTTCCTGATGCTATTTGCTCAAAGAAACACTTGCAAAAGTTGAATGTGGCCAGTTACTGATGGCTTTACCTATAACTCTTAGCTACTTAGGAAGCTGAGACTGGAGATCATGGTTCAAATGCTAGCCAGGACAGGGAAGTCCATGAAACTCTTTTTTTTGGGGGGGGGTAAGAGGGGGTTTCCAGTCGTAGGGCTGAACTCTGGGCCTGAGCGTATCCCTCAGCTCTTCACCTCAAGGCTAACATTCTACCACTTGAGCCACAGCGCCATAGCCGGCTTTTTTTTTTTTTCTGTTTATGTGGTGCTAAGGAATTGGACCCAGGGCCTCATGCATGCAAGGCAGCCCTCCATGAGACTCTTATTTCCAATTAACCACCAAAAAGCCAGAAGTAGAGGTGTGACTCAAGTGGTAGAATACTACCCTTGAGCAAAAAAGCTCTAGAAAACTGTGCATAGATGGTCCACACCTGTTAACCTAGCTACTCAGATCTGAGAATCACATTAAAAGCCAGCCTGGGCAGGAAAGTCCATGAGACTCTTATCTCCATTTAGCTACCAAGAAGCTGGAAATGGACCTGTGGCTTAAGTATTAGAGTGCTAGCGTTCAGCAAAGAAGCTCAGGGACAGAACCCAAACAGAATTCAAGCTCTAGGACCAGACACCCCCCCACCAAAAAAAAAAAAAAAGATCCAGGACAGTACCCAGATTCTGAGTTCAACTACCAGGTTGGGTCTCCCCCCCCCTCAAAAAAAAGATTTTTAAGGCTTTTCTTTAAAGCAGTTTTTTTTTTTTTGGTGACACTGGGATTTGAATTCAGGGCTGCATGCTTGCTAGACTGGTGAAATTCCACTTAAAGTCATTCCCTGTATCTATTTTTTACTATTAATTTTTGGATTTGGTTTTGTTTTGTTGTGCCAATTACAAGGCTTGAAATGAGGGGCTTTTGCTCTCATTCCTCCTTCATGCTCATGGCTATTGCTCTACCACTTGTGTCATACCTGCAGTCTAGCATTTTGCTAGATTGGAGATTGAATCTCATGAATTAGCTATGAACTGCAATCCTCTAATCTTAGTCTCCTGAGTAGCTAGGATTGTAGGCATGAACCACCAGCTCTTGGCACTAGTTATTTGTTTGTTTTGGTGGAATTTTTTGCTTATAAGCAAATGTTTATAAACATTTATTTAAGGGGCTGGGAAGGTGGCTCAGTGGAAGAGTGCTTGCCTCACATGCATGAGGCCGTGGGTTCAATTCCTCAGCATCACGTAAGCAGAAAAAGCCAGAAGTAGCACTATGGCTCAAGTGGTAGAGCCTTAGCCTTGAGCAGAAGAGCTGAGGGACAGCGCCTAGCCCCAGAGTTCAACGCCCACAACCGACCAAAAAAAAAAATTATTCAAGTAAAATACATGACATGTTTATAATCTATCCCAGAGCCTCTATCCATCTGTCCATCTCCCTTTCAATGTATAAGTTGCAATCTTTCTGTTTCTATACAACTCTTTAAATTTTTCATGGTAACTTAAGTAGCTACCTACAGTCTCCAACTATGGATTCTATTTTGTAGTCCAGGCTGAATTCAGTCTTCCTCTCTCTGTCTCTCATTGTACTATAGGTACATTCCACCACACCCAACTTCAGTGATAAATTCTAATAAAATTTATATTTACTTAAAACTTGCATTTTACAGCTATTGTCAAGCTGAAACTTCATACTTTCATTGAGAGGTTTCTTCACTCTGGACCCAAGCAAGCAATGCAGATAAAAATTTGCATCCAGCCGGGTGCCGGTGGCTCACACCTGTAATCCTAGCTACTCAGGAGGCTTAGATCTGAGGATCTCAGTACAAAGCCAGCCCAGGCAGGAAAGTCTATGAGATTCTTATCTCCAACCAACTCCAATCAACCACCAGAAAACTGGAAGTGATGCTATGGCTCAAGTTGTAGAATGCTTACCTTGAGCTGAAGAATACAAGGACAGCACCCAGGCCCAGAATTCAAGCTCATGACCAAAAAAAAAAAGAAAAAAAATATGCATCCAGTAAATGACATTACTGCTTTGCACAATTCAGTTACCACCATTTGAGCTTCTACTTTTCTAGCTAATGCTCTTTCCTGTTTAAAACAACAAAAACTGCCTTAATATAAATTCAAGATGGTGCTAGCTTTTTATTGTTTTGTTTTAATCATTTATAAATTCTTTGTTGCTATTTAAAATGGGTGATTGAGAATAATTTTAGGATACTATATGTAGTAATAGGCTACTAGGTGAGGCGTATAACAGGCCTGAGTATTGACAAAATGGCCTAAAGTTACAATTACATATTCCCATACTGCTTACTGACATAACACATGATAGTTAATAAGAGAGAAAGCATTTGAAAAATCAATTGTATATAAATACTCCCAGAATTTAAAGTGCTGATAACTTTTGTCTCAAAGGGAACTTTCTTTTCTTTTCTTTTAGCCAAAAATTTCTGAAAGTCATAAATCCAACTTTTGATCAGGAAATTGTGAACATATTTTAAAAACAGGAAAAAAAAGTGAAAATAGAACTTTCTGAATTGGTATAAGTTGCCATTTAGTTAGCTGCTTATCATAAATTGATATTACTTTGGTAATAGTCACTTTTTGCTAAATACAAAGGCTAACTATATTGTCATTTGACAATACCAAAAAATCAAAGCCTCAGATATGTAAGTTAGAAATCTGGGCCAAATAGCAGCAAAGATAGGTAGATGGACAGTTATTTTTAAAACATTTAAGTAAAGTAGCTTTTCATTTTGCATTGCTTTTTTTTCTGACATTAGTTACTTTTAGGATGGAGTTTTATTTCTCCAGCCGCACCCCCCCACCCCCCCCCCGCCGCAATTTGCACATAAGCCACAATCAGCCTACTTTTTTGGCTTCCTTTCATTGTCGGAATCACAGACACAAGCCATGGTATACAGCTTCCTTCTTGCGGAGATGGAGTCTCATAGATTTTTCTGCCTTGCCTGGCCTAGCACTGCAATTCTTGAGTTGCCAGATGTAAACTTGAGGTACAGATGTGTGTGCCCCTCCCAGACATGTGTAACCCTCCCAGCTGTGGCTTGAGAAAGATTCTCTTAAGCTCTGCCATCTGAGCTGGCCTCAAATTTTGATCCTTTTTCTCTCAGCTGTGTAAGAGCTAGGATTATAAGCATAAGCCACCAACAAGTACCAGCCTTTTTTTTGTTTGTTTGTTGTTTTAAGAGACAGAATCCTTGCTCTTGTCACCAAAACAGGCCTCCAACTGCTGGGCTCAAGTATTTTCCTTCTGCCTCAGCAGTAGTTGTAACTACAGGTAATACAACTATACCAGGCCAAATCTAAATAGGTATATGTGTTGCTGGGAATTGAGTGCCTCATATATCCTAGAGAAGCATTCTGCCACTAAGCAGCATACTTAACCAAGCCTTGTCTGGTTTTTTTTGTTTGTTTTGCAGAACTGAAGATTAAACCCAGGGCCTCAGGCATGCTAGTCTAGCATTCTACCACTTGAGCCATGTCCCCATTTCTGGTTTGTGTGTGGTTTTTGACAAGAAAAAAACAAATTCATTAGCTGCCTAAGGAATGAGAATATTAGATTCCTAAATCTGTTTTTGTACTACATGTTGTTTTTTGTTTTGTTTTGTTTTTGTTAGTTATGGGTCCTGAACTCTGGGCCTGGGCACTGTCCCTTAAGCTCTTCAGCTCAAGGCTAGCGCTCTACCATTTGAGCTACCACGCTACTCTGGCTTTTTCTGCTTATGTGGTGCTGAAGAAGTTAATATTTACTAACTATATAAGATACTTTCTTTGAAATGTCTTTTTACTTCTGTTAGCCTTGTGACCAGCAACACATAATTGAACTACTCAGTTGAAGGCAGTTTTGAAATAATCTATTTATAAAAAAGTATTTTTTGAAAATACATATTTTTTCAAATACATATTTGAAAAATATAATCATTGGACATAATATATTAAAGGTGGCCAGTGTGTGTTACAGCTAACTCTGGACTTTTTAAATCCCAGTAATTCCTAAATTGCTAATTGCTCTTTTTTCTCTGACCCAACAGGAAACTTTTGTGCTATCCTCAAAGAGCTGACTGCTGACCTAACTGCCCCTGATATCCAGGTGGCCGCCTCTTCCTGTTTACTTCCACCCCTTTGTCATCAGGATGATCTTTTGATATTAAGTCCTTTGCTACAAGAGACTGACCATAAATTCATTGAAGAACAGGTGTGGCCATTTTTAAATTATTCTTGGTAAATTTAATCTGTGAACGGTGACTTTTAATTAAAAACTTCACATGCCTTTTTAAATTTTAGCTCCTGCTTGGTAATGGTGTTGCTTGTGGAAGTCTTGAGTATGACCCTTATTCGATTTATGAGGATATAGAAGGAGATTCTGTGCCTAAACCCCTACCTCCAACACTGTCAGTTATTAGTTCTGCATCCAAGCTCTTTGGGGTTGTCTGTGCTCATGTGGAAGATGCTCAGAGGTAAATTCCTTCAACAGTTCAATTATCCTGAAATATAATATTGGTTTGGTAAATTTATAATAGAGAAATAATGGATAAGAGGAATGTTGTCAGATCTCATTAATGAAAGTGATGGGTGAAAATGAGATTAATATGAACTTTAGCTAATATTGAATAAGAAATTATTAAGTGCCCCATTCTAGGTACTGTTATGGCTATGATACTTTGACTAAAATTAGTTTATCATCTAGCCAATAACACATATGGAAAAGTCAATAAGGGCAAAGGGAATGCTGATTGATTTGTGATTGGTTGCTATAAAGATAAGCATCTTTTTAAAACATTAACTTAGACTAGATCTCATCATAGGTTTTCTTTGGAAATTTTATGGAATTGTTACAGATTCAGTGATTAGTCTTCAAATGCCTACTATGACAATTTACCTAAAATGAACTTTGGGATAGATGTGACACATAACTGCATTCCCAGCACTTAGGCAGCTTAGGTTGGAAGATCTCGACTTCCAGGGGAGCTTTGGCTACGTAATGAGACCCTTTTTCAAAATACCAAATAATAATAATAATAATAAATACATTTCCCTCAAGAAAAAATAGGAATGAGAATGAAAATGAAGATGAGAGAATTAAGTCCAGTTTATAAACTCTCACTGCTATCTTTTTTTTTTTTTTTGGTCGGTTGTGGGGCCTGAACTCTGGGCCTGCGTGCTGTCCCTCAGCTCTTCAGATCAAGGCCAGCACTCTACCACTTGAGCCATAGTGCCACTTCTGGCTTTTTCTGTTTTTGTGGTGCTGAGGAATCAAACCCAGGGCCTCATGCATGCAAGGCAAGCACTCTACCACTGAGCCACCTTCCCAGCCCTTGCTATCTTTTTTGTTGTTCATGTCTATCAATTATATGGGACATTCTAAGATATAAATATTAAGAAAGACATTTTACCTCAAAATAAACTAACTTATGTAATGATACATTGATTAGCTTCTTTTTGGTACATTTCACAGTGTTAACATATGAAGACATCATGTTATAGATCTTAAATATATACAATTTAACTTTTATATTCACCAAATGTATTCCGATAAAACTAGAAAAAAGTTACTAGCATTAAAACATATTATGTAGGTTGTAGGAAGGAACAGGAGAAAGAAGCTGGTAAAAAGTGAAGGAAGGGATGACATTGTCCAAAAAAGAAATATACTCATTACCTGACTTAAGAAATGATGACCCCTCTGTCTAGCACCTGAATTAAAACAATAAAATTATATTTTAAAGCATACTAGTTAGAGATTTCTAGCTCATGCTGTTACCAAAAAATAAATATAAGATGCTTCCCTGACCAAAGAAAGAAACTTTGGCTCAGAAATACAAAGCTGGCCCCGCACTGGTGCCTCACACCTGTAATCCTAGCTACTTAGAAGACTGAGATCTGAGGATCATTGTTCAAAGCCAGACCAGGGTGGAAAGTCCATGAGACTCTTCTCCAATATTAAAAAAAAAAAAAAAAACAGAAGTAGCACTGTGGCTCAAGTGGTAGAGTGCTAGCCTTGAGCCAAAGAGGTTTAGGGACAATGCCCAGGCCCAGAGTTCAAGCCCTAAGAATGGCACAAAAAAAAAATGACAAAGCTGATAAACATTTTTCATTTAGAATGAGGTTTTTTCCCTTATTTTTTTTCTTGGCAATATTGGTGTTTGAACTTGGGGCCTTGCACTTCATAGTCTACAACTTGTGCCATAGCTCTAGAATGATAGTAGGTTTTGTTGCAGGGGCCAGGGGGAGAAGGAGTCCTAGAGCTGGAACTCGGGGCCTGGTGCTGTCCCTCAGCTTCTTTGTTCAAGGCTAGTGCTCTACCACTTGAGCCACAGCACCACTTCTGAGTTTTTTGTTTTTTGTTTTTTTGGCAGTTAATTAAAGAAAAGAATCTAGTAGACTTTTGTGCCTGGGTTGGCTTTGAACTGAAATGCTCAGATCTCAGCCTCCTGAGTAGCTAGGCATTCAGGCATGAGCCACCTTCACCCAGCTAGAATAATAGTTTCTTAATTGATAATTGGACATAAGCTTTTCCATGATCCAGGAAAATATGTTATTGTCTGAGAATCTAAATGGAAATCAATCTCTCCCGTAAGCTATTCTGGTTAATATTGTGAAGTTACTACAGTCATTAATTTATTCATATTTCCTCTTTCCCTTTCTTCTTCTCTGTTTTCTACCTTTCTTTCCCTTCCTTCCCTATCTTTCTGACATGCAAGGCTATGCATTTGGTTTAATATAGCTTATATTGTATCATATTATTTAGGCCTACAACTGTGCTCATTTTCCTCATGTTGTAATAATGAGTATTCAAGGCTGGGCTTGTTTCATTTGCTTTAATTTAAAAATTTAGACATTATTAAATCAAAACTTATAATTCTGTTTGGATTCTAACTGAACAAAAAATAGTAGGCAGCAGTTTGGAAATTGTTTTTAAAGGAAAATCAGTCTGGCAGAATCTCAGGTCATAGCAACTGTTAGAAATCTCCAGTGGGTGTCGCTAGAGGACTAGAGGAAAGAAACTGAAGAATATGAAAATAAAGTTTTTAACTTCGTTATACCAATTATACTTGTTTGTGGCAAGCCTTTTTCTTCCAGTTACATTACATGTGCTTTTCCAGATAAGAAAGGTCTTAAGGTATCAGTATTTGACAGCTAAATATTAAAAATAGTTTAGGCTGGGAGGTGGCTCAGTGGTGGAGTGCTTGCTTTGCATGCATGAGGCCCTCCCTGGGTTCAATTCCTTAGCACCACATAAGCAGTAAAAGCCAGAAGTGGTGTTGTGGCTTTAGTGGTAGAGCACTAACCTTGAGCTGAAAGAGCTGAGGGACAGCACTCAGGCCCAGAGTTCAGACTCCACAACCGGCAAAATAAAAAATAAAAATAAAAATAGTTTGATATAATTTGGCTAAAACACATTTGAACAGCTCAAAAGAAACCATTTACAAGATTACGCTGAAGTTGGAAATTTTTTTTACATATTATTTATACATTGAGAAAGTACAAGTGCCAGTACAAAAAAAAATAACATTTTATAAGCTACCAAATTCTTCAATATTAAATGTTATATCAGTATTGAATCAATTGTGTTAGTTTCCCAATTGGCTCAGTTTTCTTTCACTATAATTAATATCTGAACCCTGCGCTGGTAGCTCACCCCTGTAATCCTAGTTACTCAGGGGGCTGAGATCTGAGGATCATGGGTCAAATCCAGCTGAGGCAGGAAAGTCCATGAGACTCTTATCTCCAATATACCACTCAGAAAACCGAAAGTGGCACTGTGGTTCAAGTGGTAGAGTGCTAGCCTTGAGCTGAAGAGCTGAGGGACAGCGCCCAGGCCCAGAGTTCAAGTCCCATGACCGGAAAAATATTAAATAAATAAATAAATATCTGAGATAATCAGTTTGAAGAAGAAAGTTTATTTTGGCTCTTAAAAAGAAATTTCAAGGCAGGGATTGTAGCTTAATGGTAGAGTACTTACCTAGCAAGCATGAGGCCCTTGGTTAAATTCCTCAGTACCACAAAAAATACATGAAATTAATAAAAATTTAAAAAAGAAAAAAAGGGGGCTGGGAAGGTGGCTCAGTGGTAGAGTGCTTGCCTTGCATTCATGAGGCTCTGGGTTCAATTCCTCATTACCACATAAGCAGAAAAGGCTGAAAGTGGCACTGTGGCTCAAGAGGTAGAGCGCTAGCCTTGAGGTGAAGAGCTGAGGGACAGCACCCAGGCCTACAGTTTAGGCCCCATGACCGGCAAAAAAGAAAGAAAGGAAGGAAGAAAGAGAGAGAGAAAGAAAGGAAGGAAGGAAGGAAAGAAGGAAGGAAGGAAGAATAACAATTCAATAAAAGTGTGGCTTATTGATAGAGTGTTTGCCTAGCATGCATGAAGCCCTGGGTTCAATTCCTCAGTACCACATAAGCAGAAAAGGCTGAAAGTGGCGCTGTGGCTCAAGAGGTAGAGCGCTAGCCTTGAGGTGAAGAGCTGAGGGACAGCGCCCAGGCCCACAGTTTAGGCCCCATGACCAGCAAAAAAGAAAGGAAGAAAGAAAGAGAGAGAGAGAGAGAAAGAAAGAATAACCATTCAAAAAAAGTGTGGCTTATTGATAGAGTGCTTGCCTAGCATTCATGAAGCCCTGGGTTCAATACCTCAGCACTACGTAAACAGAAAAAGCAGGGAGTGTCACTGTAGCTCAAGTTGTAGAGTGGTAGCCCTGAGCAAAAAGAAGCTCAGGGGCATTGCCCAGGCCCTGAGTTCAAGCTCCAGCACTGGCAAAAAGAAAGAGAGAGGGGGAAGGAAGGGAGAAAGGGAGGGAGGGAGGGAGGAAGGAAGGAAGGAAGGAAGGAAGGAAGGAAGGAAGGAAGGAAGGAAGGAAGGAAGGGAGCGAGCAAGGGAGGAAGGAAGGAAGGAAGGAAGGAAGGAAGGAAGGAAGGAAGGGAGCGAGCAAGGAAGGAAGGGAGCAAGGAAGGAAGGGAGCAAGGAAGGAGAGAAGAAGAGAAGAGAGAAATTTCAAGCCAGGCACTGGCTCGTGCTTATAATCCTAGCTATTCAGGAGGCTGAGATCTATGGATTGTGGGTCCAAGCCAGCCTGGGTAAGAAAGTCCATGAGACTAATCTCCAATAAACCACCAGAAAATTAGAAATGGAGTTGTGGCTCAAAGTGGTAGAGCACTAGCCTTGAGCAAGAAGAGCTCAGAACAGTGCCCAGACCCTGAGTTCAAGCCCCAGGACTGAACAAAAAAGAAAGAAGAAAGAAAAGAAATTCCAATCCCTGGTCTCACTGCCAGAATACATGACAGGAAAATACCACTTCATCTTCTGACCAGGAAGCCTAGTGGAAAGATACTCCACAGTTCCCCTAAAGGGGGCATACCCACATTTACCTGAAGACTTCTCACTAGTACCTACTTCCCCAAAAGTGCCAAACTCTGGGTACCAAGCCTTTACTACAGGCACTGTTGGGGACATTTATGTAAACCTTAACACCAATTATTGGAATGTACATTCTCACATTTAAAAATGCTGTAGTAGTCTAAAGAACAGTTTAAAAGAAGCCATTTATAAGATTGCTCATTATTTATACATTAAGAAAGTAGTGTGTAGTTTAAATAGTGTTGAAGACTTTCCTTAAGAGTCCAATCAAAAAATAAATATATTGGAATTGGGGAGAGGGAGACAAAAAACTTTTTGCAAGTAACTTCTGTGCATGTTTTGGTTTTTTTTTAATGTATGTTTTATTTAGACAATATCTATTGAAGTAGCTCAATTTGTCCAGATAAAAATCTTAAAGTGATATAATCTAATCTTTATAACAAAATAATCTTTATACTATTAAAATGATAAGATATTTTTCTATTTGTTGTGATATATTATTTTTCCCAAAATATCTCAAAGTTTTCAACAATGATTTAGCTCAGTAGTTTCAACAAAATAATATAGCAGTAGATTCTCAGCCGCCCTTTACTTGTTTTTTTAGTCTTACAAATCTCACCTGTTTGCTTTTAAATCATGTTGTTTCTAGGCTTCTTATATTGGAACAGCTTTTGAACAGTATAAAGCACACAAAAGGAGTTCGTCAGCAAGTAGTTCAGCTGCATGTTGTTTCTTCCATTTCTAATTTCTTGAAGGTAAATCTGGTTTTTTTTTTAAATTCAAACTTTGCTTAATTTTTAAAATGTCCATGTCTAATTAAATAGATTGGAGGATGATGTTTTTAAAGGAGTTACTATTCTTTTTTTCTTAATCTCCTTATAAACAATGTTTATAAACAATGGTTCAGGGTTTTGAATACTCCTTCTACTACTTTTTCTCTACATAGAACTTGTTAGTTAGAAATAAAATATATATGGCCTAGACTTACAACCATGCTTTAACCTACTGAATCTGACATCCTAGACCAAGAGATTGATAAATTGTGGTTATTGACCAGATCTAGCTCAATATTGTACTTAAAGCTCAACATTGCATTTACAATGTAACTAATTCTAAATTGAAATACTTTAGTCTTTATTAATTACTCATTTTATGAGCATCTCTAATAATGGTGCTCCAGATATTTTATGCCAACATGCTAATTATTGCCATATTGTTTGCCTCTTTAGAAAAATAAACTAAAATTCTATTTTTTGATCAGTATATATATATGTATATATATATGTATATGTATATATATGTATATATATGCATATATATGTGTGTATATATATATACACATACACATATATATACATGTATGTTACATTCTGATTTTCTCAGTATATGAACATTTGGATTGTTCTTTATGTATTTTAGTACCTGGCTGGCTCCAAGGGAAGTTTAAGTCCAGAAGAAATAAGAAGAGTTGTCTTAACATTAATAATGGGAGCCCTAGAAAGTACCAACCCCCTTTTGAGATGTACAGCTGCAGAAGCCTGGGCTAGATTAGCCCAAGTGGTTGATGATGGAGTTTTTACTGCTGGGTTAGCTCAAGTTAGCTTTGAAAAGTAAGTGAATTTCTTAATTTATACTCATGGGCTCTATGTCAAAACTACGTATAACTTATTTGTTCAAATTAGTAGAAACTTTGTTCTGAGATTTAACTAAGTAATTATGTTCACTTAAAAACACAAAATAAAAGAGACCCTTTTGACCTAATATAAAATTATTACTATTTGAACTTCAATCTTTTGAGATACTTCTGGAGTTTTGTCATATATAATATAGATGATCAATTGTAAGAAGAACCTACAGGAAAAGGGAAATATACAGAATACACATCAGAAAAAAAAAAACTTTTTATTTTACCAAGTCTATAACTCCTGGTAGGTTCCTTAATACTCTTAGCAGTTTTCTTTTTTCCTCTTTTTTGAACTGAGGGCCTTGTGTTTAGCCACATTCCCAACCCTTTTTATCCTCATTTTTTAAATAGGATCTCATATGTATGCCAGAGCCACATATGTATGCCAATCTGCCTTTTTACAATTGCCATACAGCTAGGATGACAGGTGCATGCCACCACTTCACCTGTTGATTGAGGTGGGGTCTCTTATTTATGCCTTCAGCTGCATTCCTTTTGATCTCCACCTCCTGAGCAGCTAGGATTAAAGGTATGAATCACTGGTGTCTGGCCACTTTTCTACAATTTTGAATAGATGGTTGATTATATATCCTACCTGTCTAAGAATCTTTTTAAAATAATTTTAAAATAATTGATTACATAAATTTCACAAATTTCACAGTATGGTGAGATAGTGATACTTCATTGCAAACACATTTTAACCTTTTCACAAGGCAAATTGTCATTATCATGGTCTATAATGTTTGTGAATTCTATGGGCTTTGACAATACAACCCTTTCTTCCACATCAGGTGATATGTACATTTCTTTCCTTTTGCGTAGTGTAAGCTGTTCCCTCTTTCCCTCTCATTCCTTCCTCCCATTACTGCCCTTGAGTTGCTTAGTTCATTTTCATCATGTCCAGTGCAGATGATGGGCTTCTCTGTTGTATATTTTCCAATTTCCCTCTGATTCTGTGTCTTTCTCCTAGCTTCCCTGAAATATGCTCATACATATATCATATATGTGGTCAAGAATATGGAGTTGCCAGCGCCAGTTCACTCCTGTAATCCTAGCTATTCAGGAAGCTGAGATCTGAGCATTGCAGTTCAAAGCCATCCTGGGCAGGAAAGTCCATGAGACTCTTATCTCCAATAAACCACTCAGAAAACCAGAAGTGGCTCAAGAAATAGAGCGCTAGCCTTGAGCTGAAATGCTGACGGACAGTACCCAGGCCCAGAGTTCAAACCCCATGACCGACAAAAAACAAAAAAAAAAGAACATGAAGTCATTTAGAAATGATATGACAAATTGAGTGGAGGTCCTTTGTTTCACAAGTCTTGTTTACTTTGTCATACCTCCTTGCATTTTGGATTTAACATCCACATATCAGAGAGACCATGTGTTGTTTATCTCTCTGCTCTAGTCTCACCTTGCTCAACATGAGTTGTTCTAGGTCCATCCATTTTCCTGCAAATGCCATTATTTTGTCCTTTCTATTGTCTGCATAATATTTCATGTATACAGGTACCACAGATTTTGGATCCATTCATCTGCAGTGAGGCATCTGGATTGTTTCCATATCTTGGCTATTGTGAACAGTGCTGCAGTGAACATGGAGGTGCATGTATACTGGTTCCTGTTGTTCAGGGTAGATGCCGAGGAGTGGTATGGCTGGGTCATAGAGGAGGTCTATCTTTAGTTTTCTGAGGTACCTCTAGACTGCTTTCCATATATATGAATCACACCAGTGATTCATACCTTTAATCCTAGCTGCTCAGGAGGTGGAGATCAAAAGGAATGCAGCTGAAGGCATAAATAAGAAACCCCACCTCAATCAACAGGTGAAGTGGTGGCATGCACCTGTCATCCTAGCTGTATGGCAATTGTAAAAAGGCAGATTGGCATACATATGTGGCTCTGGCATACATATGAGATTACTGTACATTCCCACCAGCAATGCAGTAGGGTTCCTCTTTCTCTGCATCCCATCAGCATTTGTTGTTGGCTGAATTAGGATGTGGGCCATTCTTACTGCGGTAAGGTGGTATCTCAGAGTTGTTTTTATTTGCATGATGAACATTTCCTCATGTGTTTCTTTTTTGTTTATTTGTTTGTGGTCTTGGGGCTTGAACTCTGGGCCTAGGTACTGTCCCTCAGCTCTTCAGCTCAAGGCTAGTGCTCTACCACTTGAGCCACAGTGCCACTTCCGGCCTTTTCTGCTTATGTGGTGCTGAGAAATCGAACCCAGGGCCTCATGCATGCAAGGCAAGCGCTCTACCACTGAGCCACCTTCCCAGCCCCTTTGCCATTTTTATCTCCTTCTGAGAAGTCTCTCTCTCCAGTTCCCTTGCCCAGTTAATGATTGGCTTGTTAGATTTGGGAGGGATTAGTTTCTTGAGTTCCCTGTATATAATGGATATTAGGCCCTTGTCTGATATATTGCTGGCAAATATTTTTTTCCCAATTAGTTGGCTGTCTTTCTAGTTGGGTAGCTATATTTTTAGCTTTTAGTTTAAGGTAGTCCCATTTGTCAAGTCTCTCTCCAATTTGTTGTGACCCTGGGCCTCTGTTCAGGAAGTTCCTGCCTTTGCCTAGAAGTTCAAGTGTCCTTCAGTAGTTTCAGAGTTTCAGGTTTGATGTTAAGGTATTTAATCCATTTTGAGTTGATGTTAGTGCATGGTGACAGGCTGGGATCCACTTTTAGTTTTTTGCATGTAGCCACCCAGTTTTCCCAGCAGCAGTACTATCTAAGAATCTTAAGGCAGGCCAGACACCAGTGGCTCATACCTATAAATCTTAGCTACTAAGGAGCCTGAGATCTGAGAGGATCATGGTCAAAACTAGCCCAGGAAAGAAAGTCTATGAGACTCTTACCTTCTATTAACCACCAGAAGTGGAACTGTGGCTCAAATGGTAGATTGTTGGCCTTGAGCCAAAAAGGTCAGGGATAATGCCTAAGGCCCCTAGTTCAAGTCCTCGGACCAGCACGCATGTGCGCACCTGCACACACGCTCACACATGCACACACACACACACACACACACACACAAGAATCTTAAGGTAAAAGAGTAATATGAATATTAACATGAGAAAATGTTTTTGATTTTCAGTTACAAGTATATACTCATGATTATAAGAATCTCAATTCTACTATTTCATAGAAGTTACTTTATGACAAGTAGTTCAGCTATCATTTTGAAAGTTTCCTCATCTGTAGAGAGAAACTATAGTATCATGAAGTATAGGGTTAAAAGGATTAAAGAGCTAAATAAACTACCACATAGTAAATAGAAAATTCCTAATAAATCTTAAGTTTCTTCCTATATTTAATTTTGATAACAAAATTCTTAATGATAATGTAGTAATAAGTCCTCCCTTATAAACTTAGGAGTCGGGATGGAAGATACTAGAAGTGGCCATACTAAAATGATCGTTAATAACATAAAGACTTTTTTATTTAAAATGTTCTCCATGAAAGATAACTTTCAGCCAGGCACCAGTGGCTCACGCCTGTAATCCTAGGTACTCAGGAGGCTGAAATCTGAGGATCACGGTTCAAAGCCAGCCCAGGCAGAAAAGTCCGTGAGACTCTTATCTCCAATAAACCACTAGAAGACTGGAAGTGGTGCTGTGGCTTAAGCGGTAGAGCACTTGTCTTGAGCTGAAGAGCACAGGGATAGCACCCAAGACCAGAGTTCAAGCCCCATGACCGACAAAAAAAAAAAGATAACTTTCAGCTTATTTCTGAATTTTTAATCATTTCACCAAAAATAGATTTCTTAATTTTATAACTTTTTATAAAGAATTTTGCCTTATATAAGAAAGTTATGGCCGGGTGTCAGCGGCTCATACTTGAAATCCTAGCTACTCAGGAGGCTGAAATCTGAGGATCGCAGTTCAAAGCCAGTCCAGGCAGGCTTTTATCTCCAGTAAACCACCAGAAAACTGGCTCAAGTGGTAGAGTGCTAGCCTTGAGCTGAAAAGCTGAAGGATAGTGACCAGGCCCAGAGTTCAAGCTCCATGACCGAGAAAAAAAGTTATGTATGTGTATGAGTTTTTGTTTGGTTTTGTTTCTTCTTTTCGGTGTTTGTCATTTATTTTTATTTCCATAATTATAGATTGAAGTCAGCAAGGGACGTGGTTACCAGAACAGGATATTCACTAGCCTTGGGATCCTTGTATAGGTATTTAGGAGGAATAAGTTCTTCTCAACATTTGAATTCTTGCATTGGAATCCTCTATACTTTGTCTCAGGACAGCACCTCTCCTGATGTGCAGGTAAGGACCTCATGTGATACCTTCCTTGAAATTGATGATTTGTGGGTGATGTAGATTACATTTCATGATTACTAATAATACCTGCCCCAAAGATTACTGATAATTACTAATAATACCTGCCCCAAAGTAAGTTTCAAGGGCTGGGAAGTTGACTCAGTGGTAGAGCGCTTGCCTTGCATGCCTG